AATTACACATAGAGACCAGGATGTTCCTTTCGTTCGCGTATACTTTCCAGGACGTAACGAACGAGAGAAATGTCAGAGAACGTTTTCGTTTTCCGCGCGTTACCCGCTTCAGCGAGAATTCTGCCACTAAAATCCGTCGTAGGTGCAGTCGTTGCTCGACATCGACAGTTTCGGTAATAACTGCTTTCGCGACTATGCGCACGAACCGGAGCGTGACAAAACAGCGGAAACAAGCGACTGTAAACAAACGAGAATCTTGTCTGGTGCCGTGTCGTCGAGTAACTTCGAATTTGTTTATGGCGTCGCTCGTCCCGCCACCTAGACCCTCGCCACCCGCGTTTCAACGACATTGTACGCGATAGATATTCGATAATTCTTCCTGCATATGAGGACCAACCACGTCGCTTCTCGTCAGAAATCTATCTACGATTTAATGCGATTTACATATATTTTTAACGCACGACGAGACAAAATTATCATCTGTCGCGAAAAATTTGATCGAAAATTGTTTTCTCCAGGATCTTTCCAATATTCCGTCATGGTCCCTCAACTTCTGATAGAAAAATCTAATTTCATTGGCTTGGAATGAATCCATTTTTCACGTATCGATAGGTGGATCGAACCCCGTTCAGCTAGGCTCAACGAGACGGTTTCTTTCGCAAAAACTTCTGCTCGAAACGACCTTAGCCGAACTTTCAAAGCGAATATCGTGCTCGCAATTAAGAAGGATCGTTGCCGAGGAACGACTCGGCGTCGTAGGAACGGCGGATCTGTCGGAACTCGTCAAACCGTTGAACCCGGTAGATCGCTCCGAAGTACAAACTGCAACCTCATTCGTTAATTTACACGGTGGAAGTTATTGCCGGGGCCCCCAAGGGGCAACTGTCAATTCCTGGTGGGTGGCGGCTGTGTGTCGTGTAACGAGGGATTCTCACATAAATCAGAGTTATTAATGGATCCGCGCGTGTCGGCAAATGTTTCCGGCGAAGAAGCCAGACCACGGTAATGCGCGTATGACCCCGACAAACATTTAACTAATCTTGTGTACTCGGCCTCGAACGAGCCCCTTAATTTAATAACAAACGTATGCGGCTGCTAGGCATCCGAGCTCGTTGCATATTCATCGTCGATTAATGATCGTTCATCCGAGGCCCATCGCCGCGGAACATCGCGCAACGTGAGAAAAGTCGAAGGTGCCTGTTGAGAAAGCCGTTTTAGAAAGTCCAGGAAAACGTACTTTAATCCTCTTAACCACTTGCCATCTACGAATATGTAGTTTACGCTTTTGCAACAGTCCATAACGCATATCAAGACGATCAGGCATGGTTCGTCTAAACATAACCTGCAAGCAGTTCTTCATAGTAAGCATCTCGAAAGATGCTGAGAGAACGCAAAAATTTCGAAACCCACGTCCGATGAACCATCCATGAAAACCCTGCTACGCCAAGAAATTACCCTGACCCAGAGGTCTAAGCTCCTCGCTGGAAGGAATACTCTGAATAGTTGGCTCGCGACCCTAGGTACCTTGTTAATAGGTATCATACTAAATTGTAAGCTTAAAATACATTCGATGTTTGGCACGGTGGACATTTAAAAAATGCTTCGCGAGTAGAAGACGTTGCGCGTCCCGAGCATCACTAGCTTTAAAAGACTTTCAGGAATTTTAATGAAACGACATTGTCTGAAGATGAAATGCGCGATATTGCGAAAAGAAAAATACGAATCTGAAGAAAGTCGTAAATTCCATCGTTATCTGGGTTCTAGGGACATCGAGCGATGATTGATAATTAGATCGATGGATGAAATCCTTCGAAAAGGGGCGTTCCTCTCCACGTCGCAGAATTTCTCGTTGACTAGCCTGGGACCAAGGGCTCGCGGATAGCCGGGAAAAGGAGATGATCGGGGAAGAAGAATTGGACGAGTCTCTCTGAGGAAAAATAACGAAATTGCAGGGAGGACGGGGAGAGGTAAAACGGGGGCAAAGAGGGCGAAGGAAAGGCAGGAGTTCGTGAAAATAATTACTCAGCAACTACCGCTCTTGTAGCTACCATTAGCAACGCAGCGAAGGCAATATCCCAGGCATCCGTAATCGTATTTAAAATTGACAAATTTGTCGCGTTCCACCGGTTCCCGCGGAAGCTCGTCGAATCTCGTCTCCTTCCGTATAATTTATCCCCGGGACCGGGTTTGTTAACGACGAGCAATTTGTTCGTCGAGTGTTTATCGGAACACTCGTTTGAGGGAAAGGTAATGAGGTCTGAAAAGAAACTACCGGGACAAAAGTATCGGACTCTTTAGCGGCATCAGGGAACGGGGGTGGCTCGTTTCGACTATTTTATTATTAATATGCATCTCGCGCTTGACTTGTCCTCCTCGATCGGACGCTAACGATTGCTATTTAACGAGCCGAGAAAAACGACTACCGAGTGCAAGATCCTTCAACGAATCGGACGAACAGCTCGATGGAAATCGCGTGGCGAGATGGGAAAATTTTTAGCTCGGAGCATGTCGCTCCCGAGAAAGAAGAAATCTAACGCGAAATGGAAGAAGGAAAAGGAGATGTTTGGCATTTCTTGGTGACGTTTCTTGGTTCCTTAACTTTTTAAGTAAACGGTGTCCAAGTTAACGTACACGACCGAGGGGAAAAATACGACAAACTGGCGGAACCCTTCCTATTCGCTTCGTTTCGTTTCGTTTCGTTTCGTTTCGTTCCGTTTCGTTTCGTTTCTGCGTAGAGAGAAGTTGGCCCAGGAGAGGCCTGAGAGGTCGTGCTGGTCGATTTGAGCGGAAGTTGGAGGCCGAGTTCGAGCAGCAGCAGCGCACACAGATGCGTTCGCGAAGCTCAACGAGTTAAACCACAAACTCAATTGGACGTCAGAAAGAAACGCTGCAACAAATGGGCGAAGTCTGGTCCAGACAGAGCCAAGCCTTAGTCATTTGATGCCTCATTTCTGTTGCCGCAAAAACCGGGGTAACGACCAGCGACTTTGTACCACTCGCTATCGACGTTAAACTCGCCTCACAGTTCGTCCCCGTCGTCGTCTAACGGATATCCCGCTTGTATCGCTTCGGGATTCCTCGAGGTGAATGCAAAGGTATATTTCGAACGGAAACGATCGGAAAATTAACTAACAGCGTGGAAAAAGGGATCGTTCAATTTCGTCGAGCGATGTCGTTAAACGCGTCGGACTCGAGAACAGAATTTTACGAGTATTTTATCACCTTCGAGAAAATAGATCATAACGTAGCATAGAGTAACGAAGAATGTCCTTTCTTTCGACAAGACACGATTTTATATCTTCGCTTTTTAGTGTAATGGAAAATCGCGCAGCGAGGGATTCCTCGGGGGGAATGCTAAGATAATTTTCAAACCGGAACAAGTGGAAAATTAATTAGCAGAGTAGAGAAAAGTCGTCGAGTTTCACAGAATAATCTAATTAAACGTGTTGGATTTAAGAACGGAATACTATTATCACGACAATATTAATAATAATATAAAATATCGCGAAACGAAGAATTTAATATCTCTTAATAAGACTTATTGGAATCTTATCGTTGAACGCTCGCGTAGGTGGAAAATTTAACACGGAACAACCGTTGGTCGGTTGCCAAGATATTAACGTCGATTTTGAGGATGCCAGTGGTACACTGCTATGTATTCAGAAACAACAGAGAAAAGTTGCGGCGCAGCAGGGTTGACGGTCGTGTTACATCGTTGCAACTTCGCGATCTTGGGGGCACACGCACATTCAGGGTGGCACGAGAACTTTACAGAACAAACCGTTCGAAAGGATTACAGGGAAATAGGATACACAAGCTTCTGCAGAGAGGCGTATACTTGTAAAGGAAACAATCTCGCGGGCGCAAGGAAATATTTTCAGAGACAACGGTTTTCGTAACGAAATTAACCAGGGTGCGTTACGCGTATGAACGAAACGGAGCAGAGTCGCGAAGCTTAATCCTGGGCATTGTGCTTATTTTCATCCAAAAACGAGGACATATTCGAAGATCCGAATAAGGGACATTGATCGTGGTGTATGGAAAAGAAGAACAACTGTATGTAAATAAGGAAGATGGTAGAGAAGGTGATGAAGAACCTAGGTATAAAAAATTAACATTGATCATCTCAGAAGAACAACTGTAAGGAAAATAGCTACGTAAATAAGAAAGATGGTAGAGAAGGTGATGAAGAGTCTAGGTATAAGAAATTAACCCTTAACACGTTCTGTGCCACGTGTACCACCGGTGGTACACGTTAAACTTGATCTACAGTCAGGCAAAAAGGGCTTGGCACGGAACGTGTTAACGATCACTAGCTTTTTATACGTGATTCTCAATAGGTTGTAGCTGGTTTCGGTAAATATGCGAAAGATTTCCGTCTTATCACCTGCCACGTGACGCACGACCGTAGCGACAAAGGAGTCTTGTCAAATGGGAGGTGACTTACGACCGATAAGGGCTAATAGAAATTTGAACCTGTAACTCCTTGTTCTATGCACTACCTAACGAATATTTCTAACTTTCCAACAAGACACGAACGGTGTACGTGAATGCGTTTGCCTAAGCTCGTCTGTTGTCTGAAACCTAAACCGAACGTTGCGGATTATACGCACGTTAACCTTCGTGCCCTACGATTTAAGTTCCGGTGGCGCGTGCCATAATCAACAGCAGAGTCGAGCACACGTGGAGCCATTTTGTCCTGGCAGAGCGAAGAATAACACGTAACCGAGGCAGAAAGACATCGTCGAAAATTAACCACGAGCCTGACTAACGAAAATAATCGTTAAACGTTGCAGAAACACGTCTAAATTACTATTTTTCCAGCTATGTAAATTACTAGTTTCCTTGATAAAATAGATACGCGGGTATCTTCCATGTGTACAATGGAAATCCTTCGAACCGATTCCTCTGTTGTTGGTCACGGAATATACTATCACCCACCCAAAGTTTTGCTTAGAACGGTGCAAAAATTGTAAGGATATAAAATAAATATTACTCACCAAATTCTCGTTCGAAGACTGTCGAAGCTTCAATGATGCGTGGCACGATCGGCAGCAACATCGGTCACACTCGAGGCACTTCGACCGAACGCGACGAAGAATAACACGCAACTGAAACAGAAAAACGTCCGCGAAAATTAATCACGAGCCTGCCCGAGCCTGTCCAAGGCTGACGATGTTTACATTGAAACCTATCTACAAATCACAGCTCTCGTGACGTCATGTTTTGCCCGATTTCCTTAGCGAAGGAATTAACTCAAGCACACATAGCTTAAATATCTAGGTGGGAAATAAATATGAAACGAATGAAAAAATAATTGGGAAACAAATATGAAATGAGAGGAGAGAAATAAAAATCCCAATGAACAATGGAATAAAAAAATGAACCAGATAAAACAAGAGAAGAATCTAATAACGATGAAAAAATGAAAAAAACAGAATCCTGTATAAGAAAAAAAATAGAAAAAAAATATAATAATTAATTAAAAAATTATTGTTTAATTTTATGAGAGTCGGAGTGTGGATGGAGTGGACAATGGTCATCCACTGACTTAAGGATCTAGTTAATGACCACTGACCACCCCCTCTCACCATCAACCCCTCCGAGCGAAGGAAACTTACAGTTAGATGTTACCACTTCGAAATCAAAATGACAAATGAGTTTGTGCTACATTCGCGCGGTCTTTATATAACCGACGATCGGCCGAAAATCGATGAAAAATCACGATCGTTCCCGATTTTGTTAATAATTACTTTTCTCCTATAATAATCAAGAATTTGTTGATATTTTCGTTATTATTACAAATTTATGCTTCGAGCAATTTGTGATTAATAATAAGTTTGATAATATATATATATTTTTATAAATTATAACCATATTCGCACTTCCATATCGAATTGTATAGCAAATCTGTATTTTTTCGTTCGTAGATTGCTATATGTTAATTCCATTGCACTTGCTACCTGGATTACGCGTAACGAGAAGTACGAGCCTTCTGTTCCGAGAAACAGAGGCCAATTAATTCTCCTCTTTCGCGAAATTTTGCGGATTCCAAATCCAACGAAAGCACATCCTATCGTGTATCTTACGATATCTCGAGTCGAACGATATTTTCCTGAGAGTCATCTACCTTTATTGCCGAATACTTTATGGCCCATATACCAGGGATTAATTAAAATAAACAAACGACACGTCGCAATAAAGTTCGCGATGGTTTATGGATCGTATCGAGAACTAGTCTAACTTGGTTACTTGGTAATCATCGAAACAGGTGGAGAAACATCTGGTACGTTCGTAAAATTGTCAATAACGTGAAATTTTAGTAGCCATTGCCATTCCATTCGCCAGGAATGTTGGAGCCCGGTATCAGAGGTGTCGCTAATGAACCACTATCTCGTGCGAGAGATAAGATGTTCTCCTCCTTAAAATTCAGCTGACTATCAACGTTCTTAGGTCATAGCTCACGCTACGATCTGCATTTTTAAACGTCTTGAGGGCCGCTAAGCGGATGCACATACGAACGCTTCGTCGGTGACATCGTTTTAAGATTAAGGTCGACGGTGTGCCACCGTCGCGTATTAACATTCTCGAGTGGCACAATTTCTGCCTTTCTTTAGCTCGTCGTGCATCTAATAATCCGGATCGCCGGCGTTGCAGCCCCTTGTAAAACGTCGTCAGTTTTATCGCGTCTTGGGTTAAGCGTCTCTCGTCGATCGTCGATCGAGGACGAAGCCGTATCGATGGATATTCTCCCGACATTTCCTCGAAAATTTTTCCTAGCGATCACACAAATTGTTCGAGAATACATTCGTCGAGAATCTGGCAAGGAAAGTAAAAATTTTCCAAAATAATTATTAGAAAAAGAAAGAAATATCGTCTGCTCGTCGCAGGATCATAACGCGCACAAAGGAACGTGTCTCTTAAAATGATTACGAGGGCACGTGGCAATTCATTCAACCGTGCAGCAAGGTTGTCCGAACCCTCGTGTCCCGATCTAGATAATATCATAATTTTCATAAGCGTCTCCTCCCGCCAGCGAGCCTCCATTGTTATATCTTGCACCTGCACCGAACACCCGCAACCCTCGCATACATCCAACTATAATGCATACATTGGCCGAGGACTTTTATGGGTTATCCGAAGCTTTACGAGCTCCACGATCGAATTCGCCGATCGAAAGACGACGGCAAGAAAGTGCTAACCGGTGACACGCGAATCGACCTGCTTTCCCTAATTTATTTACCATCGGAACGCATCTGCGCCGTTCCAAATACCAGAGAAAGTCCGTGGAAAAGTATCGGAATCCTCTGAATCAAAGATCCGAAATCGGGCAACCATTTGGCCGATTCGTACGAATCGTGAGTCCGCTCGCGATTCATCCTCGATAGAACAGAAACAGGGTACGTCGAATCGAAAATGCCCGGCTCGGCTAGCAATTAATCCAGAGGAGTGATTTAATTAGCGCATAGATAACGTATCTAATTATCCGGGACGATTCGCGCGACCGGATGAGTTCTCCTCGAATGCCTATTGCGAAAGTGGAGGCCTAATGAACGCGTTCGTGGACGCGTTTCGCAGATTCCAGCGGCATATCGACGCTGTGCGTCGGACACGCATACGCGTGGACATCTCGTGTCGGAGACGCGTACGTGTCAGAGAATTATGCCGATCGATGAGTACGAGCGGAGAGGCGGCGAGCGACGAACCGAACGCGAGAGAGTGTGACAGACAGTTTTGCATGTAATTTATTATGTGCATAATTAGAATAACGAATAACCGAACAACTTTCCGCTCGAGACTAACGAGCGAGTATCGGGAACGATATCAGCCAACTCGAAGATACGAGCACACGACGCAGAGCGTCCTCCGAGAAATAGCACTCGCCCCGGAGAAAGCTTAAAGGTCGCCCGTTGCACAGCACGTTGTACCGTTTCATACTCTGGGTCTCTGCTTTTGCTCCGAAGAAAGGCGCACGATTCCGACTGCACCTTGCCAACGTCTCACGCTAATCAGCGTCCAATGACTTTCGATGAATGATTTAGTACCCAGAACTGCGACCCTGTTCGCCGAGTATCCGCGAGTTTCGATTCGATTGCACGGAAATTACACGAGCTACGTTACTCGATAATCGTTTATACATTTTGTGAAATGCGTACATCTCTTGATACTAAACCTATTAACTAGTCGGACGACCGGTTGTGGTCGGTGAAACAGGGTATAGCATACGAATAACAGGAAAATAAATGAGAAAAGGGGCAGATACGTATACGAAAAATGTACGACAAATAGACACCAATGTTGTAATTTCAGAGACTTATCGCTAATTTAATAATTATCGTCGTGTACAGCTTCTATATCCGATAAGATTCGAGGCAGGAAATAAAATTCTGCGAGACGAAACTGTTCGTGCATAATTATCCCCGTGAAGATATTTATATTCGTACATAGTAAAGTAGAAGAATCAAATTATCAGCCAAAATTCGGCGTGGAAGATAAACGTGTGAACGATTAAGTTATTCGGATATCTGACTGATTCCCGAAACGGCTAATCACCGAATGTATAAATGATCGATGGGACTCGAGGTGCTGGACAAGGTAATTAAAATATCATTTGAACGTTCGGGGTGGAATTATCGTAACGGTTGCTTAAACCGACCGATTACTCGGTGCCATGGGAACGTTAGATTCCAGGTGTCGAGATTCCTGCGCTCGTATTATTATCCCGATAATAATAGTAATTAAGCCATTTGCAGCAGTTCGTAGTAACACTTCGCGCGTAATATGTGTTCCTAATCCGAAGCAGCATATGGTCCAACATGCTCGCCGTCGCGGCCTACCATCGCCCTCTTCTTCGCCCGCCTGCTTAAATTCGCCATTAAAGTGTGTTACAGCGTTCACCATTTACAGCTCGTAGCAGATATTTCGCGGGGCTATATTATCGATC